TTTACATAAGAAAAAAGGGTCAAAGAGCTCTGTTTGGCTTTTGCACCTCTGCAATGTAGGTTCTAAGTGAACTTCAAGATTTGCTAAAAAGCACCGGTTGAGAAACCTTTATGAACTTAGTCACTACCAGGGCTCAAGCTATAGTTATACCTGGGGATTCCACTGAACTTAAACATCGTACCCCATTAACCTTAATAAAGTCACAAAGTAAAATAGAAAGGAAATGATTATGCCTCACTTGCGCTGTGGCCTCGCCTAAATTTGGCTTAGGTACAAAACCCATTGCCCTAAAACATCCCATATTTGGCTGAGATACCTTAGTACAATCATGAATTGAAATTAAAGTACGTCCTTGACACTTACACATGGGCTGGGTACAAGGGGCCCCTGCACCCCCAGTTCCAATAGTTAATGCGGCCGAAGGGACGTTAGAGCGGGGCCTGCGGAGGTGGGAACTCAGCGTGCGCAACCGCAGCCGCGTGACTGTTCCCCCAGCTCTCCGTGTGACAGCCCGGTTTCTCCTGCTCTTAAACCCTGGAGAGTAAGGGGTGCCTCCTAATGACTCCAGCCTTAACACTGAGCTCTCCGCCCTCAGGGCCCCCATACCAAACAGCCAGCATTTTAGAAAGTACTAGTCCCACGCTGTCAACACTCAGTGACTGTTTGCTCTTGTAGGTCGGCTCGCTGGCTCTGTTCGGCTCCTATTTCAACAGCGTCTGGGCCGCAGTTTGCCGCCACCTCCGAAGAGACAGGATATGCTTTTTTCCAGGCTACCCACGGTGTCCCTCAGCAGCTGTGCTCCACACACAGTCTCTGCAGACAGGATCCCGACTGCGCCACCTTTACCCAGGAACGCAGGCGTGACAGTGCGCTGATGGCACCTTCCCCTGAGGACGTTCATGATTCACTTATGACCGACACATAAACACACCGGTCAGTCTTTTTGTGTCCTGGGGGCAACATACTGCACGTTGACAATTTTTGCTTACACATTAGAATGAGCAGAAACTTCTGCTAGTGCCCTCAGAAAGTCCTTCCTTGTAGAAGCTTTGCCGATCCCTTCTGCTGCCTCCTGCAGTCTCTGGACCACGTACGATGGCCACTCGTCGTCCCAGGGCCTCTGATGGAAGAAGCTGCCCTCCTGGCCTCGTGCTGCACACCCTTAAATCACAAGTGACTGGCCACCTACTGGGCTTTGCTGGACAGAGGGGCTCTCTCTTGCCTGAGCCTGTGACCCTCCATGCACGGCTGCCCCTTGTGCTTCGAGTCATGGCACCAGCGCCCCACAGCTCAGCAAGGTCACCGAGGCCTCCCCAAGACAGGATGGAGCCAAACAGGGGCCCTCTTGTGTCTTACACTTGCAGGAGGATCGGCTCCCCCTGTCCTCAGTGCCTTGCCAGAGGCCAGGACGCTGGAGGGGGTCACCCCTCCCCTAGCCTCCTTGGTACCTGGGAGTCCCTTGGGGTTCACTGAGTGAAGGGCAGTGGGAGGTCATGGACACAGGAATGGCACTGCTGAGGTCACACATGGTGGGGCCCAGTGGTGTGATGCTGCTTTCCGTCCCTTAACCATGAAGTCCTGATAAGGACGGGACTCAAAAAACCACACAATCAGCCACACTTCAGGCAGTCGCCTTAGCACTGGCTGCCATAGCTGACAAGTGGTCCCATCTGCAGCATGTTTATTATAAAGTGTTAGGCCACTGCCTAATAATGTCCCCTTTATTGTAAAAAAAAAATGAAAACCAAAACGACAACAAAAAACAATCAAAATTCCCAAAGAGACAAACAAATTCAAATACCTAAAAATCAAACTCTGAGAATCTCTTGCCTCATAGATACACAAAAAATAAATTGAACTCACACATCTCCAGATACACTAAGGCCATGTGACAATGCCCTGCCAAGATGCTGCTCTTTCCCTTCAATTACACACAAATTTCACTATCATTACATATAATGGCTACTATGTTACTGTTACTAAATTATTATTTTATACCTTCTAATGTCAGACCTGCCACCTTGTCCTGGGAGCATTTTTAACACGCTTTATGACTCCACCAGGTTATCATTAGAGACCCCAAACATTTCAGATCTATTTTTCATGGCTAATGCCATACGAATGGGAAACTTGGTTTTGGGCTAGTCCCACAACTTGCGTTCCTCCTTTCTGCTCTTATATAAAATATTTTCTATTATATTTTATGTTGTTTATCAATGTAAAAAGAAACAGAGTCAGGCTGTCCCAAGAAAATGGAATTATTCAGCAATAGCAGAGGCCTGCCATCTGGAATGAGCATGTGATGACAGATCACAGGTTCATCAGGGGAGGTCAGGGGAAAGGGGAGAATTGAAGGACACAGAGAAGTCAGTGTAAGCTGCTTTCGAACAAAGTCTGTAGGCTGCAGAATCGCATTGCGAGGGTTGTCATTGTTCGTTGATGGAGACGGCCCTTACTAGGTAAGTGTTGTTTTGCAAGTGGCTTATCTGAAAAACTGGAATCTTGAGGAAGTTTTCTGACGAGTCTTGTTACCAGGCTGCTTGCAGGACTACATCGCAATCAGTCCTGACCCTGGAATGTGTGCACGACGGCTTCTTCTTCACACGCTCCTCGTCTCCATTTTCCCTGCTTGACATAAGTGATGCCATTTTGGTGCCGACAACTTTGACATCTCTAATACATGCCTCTATCATCACCCCATCACCCCAGATTTTCTTATGTTGTCTAAACAACAGAGGACCAACTGCAGTGTATATACACACGTGTGTGTGTAAAAGTGTATGTACGATTGACCCTTGAACAATGCAGGGGATGGGGTGCCAACCTCAACCCCCCTGCAGTGAAAACTCCACTTGTAACTTTTGACTTCCAAAAACTTAACCACAGGTGACCTACTGTTAATCGGAAGACTTACCAATAATGTAAAGTGTTGATTCAGACACATTTTGTATGTTATATCTATTATACACCATATTCTTACAATAAAGTAAGGTAAAGAAAAGAAAATGTTCAGGAAAACAGAAGGAAGAGAAAACCTATTTACTATTCACTAGGTGGAAGGGGACCATCACAAAGGTCTTCATCCTCTTCATCTTCATGTTGAGAAGGCTGAGGATGAGGAGGAAGGGAAGGGGTCGGCCATGCTCTCTCAGGAGTGGCACAGGCAGAAGAAAATCCATGGACCCTGGCAGTTCAAACTCTGTCGCATAAAGGTCAAGTGTGTACAATTCTCTGTATGGTTTGATGTTTTGACATCTTAAAACACATTTCTGACTGAGGAGAGACTGTCCCTCCTGGAGCAGCCATTTTATGTGCCTTGACACAGCCCTGTGCCCAGCCAGGAGCATGCCTTTGCCACACGAACCACCCACTCCAGATCCACCCCTCCCCTATCCAGTCAGTGCACCCGGAGGGTCAATGTTCCTCTGCTTTCCTCATCCCAGGGACAGGTGCCAGACAGATAGACACCACCCCAGTGGCCCAGGGCCTGCTGAAATTATTCAACCCATCCATCCTACACTGTTTACCCTGCTCTGATTTTCCTGAAGAAACCCTAGTATGGTCTGTGACCTAAGGGCTGCTCCCACCCTCCCGTCTTCCACTTTCAGATGCCCCTGGTGTCTTTCCCTGTGGCCCTGCACGGCATGCCATGCCTCCTGTCCCCAGGGCCTGTGAGCATAATGTACTTGGCTTCCTGAGCCTCTCCTCTGTCTCCTCTTGTGGCCCCACCCGACTGACTAGCTTATAAAATAATATGAAACACAGATTGAGGTTTAATTCTCCAGCCCACAGCTCTGCCCTGAGGGGCTCTGTCCTGTTGCTGTGGACACCAGGAGACAGAATTATAACCCCAGTGTCACTGCAGCTCCAGCACAGGAGATGGTGAGCACCTCTGCAGTGGCCCCCGGTGCTGAGAGGATGAGTTGGGGCTGACAGGGCTCCCAACCCTGGGGGGAGGGAGGAATGTGCAGAGGCTGAGTCCTGGGCCAAGACCCCAGAGGAGCCTGGGGAGGACGGAGAGAAGGTCATATGAGCTTCACAGATGGTGCCTTTCTCAGATGCGTCTCACCTGTGCATGAGCCATTTAACCTGTGGTCCTCAGAGGACCAGCATCATCAGCCACACGTGGGAACTGGCAGACATGCAGATTCTTCAGCTGTCTTCATCCCAGCACAATGAAGTTGATATATGTGCTAGGAACCCCAGTACAGGGTTCCTGCCATCTTCCTTGTTCTGTGACTGAACACTTCCAGCGACTCTAGCCCTTACTCAATGCCTGCCTACACCCTAACCATCATCTCAGATCTGTGTACATATACCTTGTCAAGGAAGTGGACTCTGAACACCAGAACATAGAGAAACACATGATTACAATCCTTTACACTTATCAGAAATTATCCTCACAGTTGAGTATAGGGTATCCAGATTCTTTGCATGAATAACACCTCATTCCCTCTCTGCACCTATAATTTTACCTTTTATGTATCCCTAAGGACTAGAAGCAAAAAGTAGGAAAGACTGCTTGCATAATAACATTTTAAGTGACTTTGAGATGTTCATGCAATTTGCCCTTTATTCTAATAATGTGACGCCTTATATTAATTAACTTTCAGATGTTAAACCATCCTTACATTGCTGGGATACATACTACTTGGTCGTGGTGTATATTTCTTTTTATATGTGGTTGGGTTAAATATTCTAGGATTTTGTTGAGGATTTTTGCATCTATATCCAAATAAGGTTATTGGACTTTAGTTTTCTTTTCTTGTAATGTTTTTGTTTGGTTGTAGTATTAGGGTGATATAGGGTTCATAGAAACAGTTGATGAGTGTTCTTGCCTCTTCTGTATTTTGAAAGAGCTTATGAATAGTTGATAGTAATTCTTCTTTAAATATTTGGTAGAACTCACCAGTGAAGCCATCTGTGCCTGGGCCTTTCTTTATGGGAAGTTTCTTCATCACTAATTTAATCTCTTTACTTGTTGTAGGTTTTTTATTTCTTCTTGAGCCATTTCCAGTAGAATAAATATTTCCAGGAATCTGCCCATTTCACCTAAATCTTGTCATGAAGTTGTTCATTATAGTCCCTTAAAATAATTTTTTATTTATTTAATGTCAGTGTTCTGGGACCATACGTTGTGTGATTTCTCTTTCTTCAAATGATGAATTTGCTTTATGTGGCTTACCCTGAAGAAGAGTCCATGTGCACTTGAGAAGAACATGTGTTCTGCTCTTGCTGGATAGGATGGTCCATAGTTGTCTGTTATGTTTTTCTACAGTGCTGTTCAGGTCCTTCAGGTTCTCTACTATATGCTATCAACATATGTGTCTGTGCAGCTCCCGTATCTGCTGCTTTTCATTTCTTTACGTAGATTCACATTTCCATCTGGTACCATTTTCTTTCTGTATGAGAGGTGTCCTTTGTTATTTCATTTAGTAAGGGTCTGTGGTTGATGAATGCTGTCAGTTTTTGTATATTGGAAAAAGTATATTTTGTTCTTCATTTTTGGAAAATATTTCACAGAGTGAAGAATACAAGGTTGGCATATTTTTCTTTTAGTATTTTAAAGATGTGAGTCCCTGTCTTCCTGCTTGCACTGCTTCCGGTGAGAAATATGCCCTTATCGTTATGTTGTTCATGTGTGTGTAACATGCCTTTTGTACTTGGATGCTTTTAAGAGTGTCTCTTCATCTCTGTTCTTTACCAATTTGATTATGATGTGTGTTGGTGTTTTTTTCTTCATGAATTTATATTTCTTTATCTATTTTGTGCTTGGTATATGCTGTGTATCTTGGACATGGAGGTTTATGGTTTTCACCAAATTTGGATCATTTTTCTTGTTATTTCATAAAATAGTTTTTCTCTCCACCCTCCTCCCCAACTTCTTTCTTCGAGTAGTGCAAATTACATCATTTTAGGCTGCATGAAGTTGTCCTACAAGTCATTGATGCTTTCCTGGGTTTTTTTTGCAGTATTATTTGTGTATTTTATTTTGATTAGTTCCTGTTGGTATGTTGTCAAAATCACTGATCTTTTCTTTCGCAGCATCTATCATTCTGTCAATTTCTGTCAATGTGCTTTTTATTTCAAACATTCCAGTCGTCACTTCGACAATTTCTATTTAGGTGTTCTGTACGTCTTCAATTTCTCCACTTAACATGCACAATCAATCCTCTACTCTCCTGCACAAATGGGAAATGGTTATAATAACTATTTTTATATCCTTACCTAGAAAATCTCTTACCTGTGCAATTTCAAGGCCACAATGCATTGATCAACTTTTGTGCTTGTTATGTCTCATGTTTTCCTGCTTTATGGAAGGAATTTTGGAAGGATGCCAGACATTATACATTTTTGTTTGTTGGTTGCAGGGCATTTTTGTCTGTCTCTATATATTTTTATTCTTTATTCTTGGATTCTGAAAAGTTATTGCACACAGTTTGATCATTTCTCAACGTGGTCTTACATTGTCCTAGTTGGGACAGGAGCAGACATTGATCTATAATTAGTTTCCCCCCCGTATTGCGGCAAAGCTCTTCTGACTACTTAATTTCATGACCCTAAGTAGGCACTTTACCACTGTGCTTGTAGGAAAAACACTATCTAGATTGTGTATGTGTGTGCGTGCGTGTGTGCACATGTGTGTGTGCGGGAGAGAGAGAGTGCACTGTAGCGCCGTGGAGTGTTCCCTCCAATGTCTTTGGACGGAGTCTCCTCCATCTCTGGCAGGAGTTTGCTCCCACACCTGTGCTCCTCAGTGCTCGTGAATACTTGCAGGCTCCAGATCCCTTTTCCCTCTAGACTGCTGTTTTGCTTGTTGACTAGTTTTTGAATTCCCTGCAGTCCTACTCAGAGGGAGAACGCCGTGCAGCAGGGGCAGGGACATTCTCAGGAGAGGAGTGTGGGAGCATGACTGGGCCTGGGTTACAGCTGTGCACTCAGCTGGCAGGCACTGCAAGGTCATCCTAAATGAAGACACGACATTGGGATCTGGGCATCAGGCAGTCACTGCTCCCGAATCACACTACGAAGGGAGAGGCCGTCCCCTGCACTCATGGCACTTTCCAGGGGGAGAGCAGCTGTGATCCACCAGGGCTCCAGCCCATGGTGCGGGTGGGTGGGTGGATAAGCCTGAAAGCGGATCTGGGTGGCTACCACAGAGCCCACTGCGATGGGCTTCCCTGTTCAGAGTAGCAGGAGCCGTGAGAGCTGGGCCTGAGGGTGTCAGACAGACATGGGCAGTGCAGAGGGACAATCTGTGTTATGTGGGCCGCAGAGTAGAGGCAGTGGCTTCAGTTCAGGTGCCACACATAAGGACATCCAGGGACCTTGACCACTCAGTGGATGTCTCCCTCTGACTGGCCTTCTTACAAGTCATCTTGAGCCAAGTCACACCCTGGCTCAGACTACACCAGAACAGCCTGGTCCCGCCAGCCCCAAATCCATCCCTGACCCACCCTCTGCTGAGCCTGCCTGGAGGGCTGGAGGGTCAGGCAGCCTGAGGGTCTCAGATCTGGGTGAACTGGGCTAACCCTGCTCACCGCTGTGACTAAAGTCCTCATGAGGCTGGAGGGAGAGGGTGACACAGACAGGAAAGGGGTTTGTGTCTCAGTTCCCCGTCTACCTGTGTCACTGTGTGATTATTACCACTCATGTCCAATGACTGACAGTAATAGTCAGCCTCGTCCCCAGCCTGTGCCCCGCTGATGGTCAGGGTGGCTGTGGTCCCTGATTTGGAACCAGAGAATCGCTCAGGGATCCCTGAGGGCCGGTTGCTGTTACCATAGATGACCAGCACAGGGGCCTGGCCCGGCTTCTGCTGGTACCAGTTTGTTGGTACAAAGTTACTTATGTGATCGTCTCCCTGGCAGCTGATCCTGGCCGTCTGTCCCAAGGCCACAGACACTGCAGGCACTTGAGTCAGCTTGAGGGAGGCCACTGAACCTGCAAGAGAGGACAGGAAAGGTGAATCTGAGGGTGAGGGTCTCGTTCCCAGAGGGCCCCACACCCTGCAGCATCCCCTGTGCTGAGCCAAAGGTCGGGGCCAGGCTGACCCCTGGTGCTGTGGGGGCTGAGCCTGGGGCAGCACCTGTGCAGAGAGTGAGGAGGGGGAGCAGGAGAGGGGTCCAGGCCATGGTGAGACCCCGGAGCTCTGCCTCTGAGCCCACAGCTGGGGAGGGACCTGCAGGGCTCTCTTATCACAGGAGGGGAGTCTCTTCATGCAAATCTGCTTCCTTCCCTCTTGTGACTTGAGGGGAAGCTCCCTGGTGAGCAGGGGTTGCAAATCTGTCCTCTGGTCCCCAATGTGTCTGTAGGAGAACTTGTCTGAGCCCTGAGCCTGAGGGCCCCACGCTGGTAATTTTCCAGGTTCAGAGAAGGGCCGGGGGTGTCAGGAGTGGAGAGGGAATTTCACCTGATAGTCCTCGGAGGAAGCCTCAGTCATTCCTTTCGCACCTGAGCTCTGTCAGGGGACTTGGAGTTATTCAGGCTCCCAAACCAAGGCCCACAGTGTCCCCTGATGCCCACAGGGGGAATGTCACCCCACATGTCACTAGTTTAGGCACAATGACTGCTTCTGAAACCTTGATATATGCCAGACACTTTGCTGAGTGTTTTACATGCACCACCCCGAGAGGACATTCCTAATAACCCCACAGCAGCCGTGTGGTTAAAGCACAGCGTCTCCTCCAGTCTGCTGATGAGGAGGCAGCATCAGGAGGCGACGTGATTTTCCCAAAGTCCCCAGAGAGCAGTGACTGGTGCCAAGACTCCATCCAGGAGACTCAGCTCACAGTCCGACCCCCCAGCCCCTTCATGCCCTGCCCCCCACCCTGAGCCTGACTCCTCCTCCCCCCTCATCCCAGGCCTCCCAGGTCCCTCTGGTCACCACCCTCTCCTCTTTGATCAGGTGCAGTGTCCTCCCTTAGTGCTGTGGACAGAGGTGGGGACGCTCTCCTTGCTCCCTCCACGGCAGGTGAAAAAGGAGTGTGTGTCAGCGGTGACAGTGGGGACACCGAAATGCCGCGTTGTGCTCCTCATGCCAGGCTTTTCTCTAGTCAAATTAGGACCAAGATTCCAAGTCAAACAAGTAAAGGCATTTACTTTGGACAACACAGATTTATAAAAAAGAAAGAGAGAAGACTCCCAAGTTAGGTGACTACAAACCGAAGAAAAAAAGAAATACATTTTAAACCTTAAGAACTGATAAATGCCAGGTCTAGCAAATGTGATATTAGCTTCACATTACTTAGTATTTTTAAAAACCTATAGTAACAAAAAAATCCACAGAACCAGGGGGAGAAAACTGAAAAAAAAAAATTCTATATATTCATAAGTGATGTACACACATATATAATATTTACATGATATATCCACGCTTAAATTTTTAAAGTTCCATAATATCCGATTGCAAATCTAAAATTTGTATATGATAAATTTATATAAGACGAAACAGCTTGCTTGCCATTTGCACCTCTGCAACACAGGTTCTAAAGAAACTGTAACATTTGCTAAGACCACTAATTGACAAAACATACGTACATCACCAACACTGGGCTCAAACTACAGCTACGCCTGGGGATCCCGCTAAACTTAAACACTGTACCCCATTAACTTTAATAAAGTGACAAACTAAAATAGAAAGAACATGATTGTGCATCACTCTCACTGCAGCGTTGCCTAAATATCCCATCGTTACAATTCCCATTGCCCTGAGATATCTCCTATTGAGCTAATTTAAAATAATAATGAATTAAAATTAAAGTAAATCTCTGACACTTAGAAGGTGGCTGGGTAAGATGGGACCCCATGTAGCCCCAGTTACAATGATCAATGCGGCTTATGGAACTGCACACTGGGCCTTTGGAGGCTGAAACTTAACCCACCCAGCCTGCTTGGTACAGGGGTGACTCTTCCCTGCTCCCCCGCTTCCCAGCCCAGCAGTGCCTGTTCTTCAACCTGGGGACATAACGGGGGCCTCCTAATGGATCGCTGCAAACCTAACCCTACGTTACCATCCCTTAGGGCCCCGTACCCAAGATAGAATATTTTTCAAATTGCTGTTTCTCTGCAGTCAACGCTCGGTGACTATTTGCTCTTATAGGTCGGCTCACTGGTTCTGTTTGGCGCCTGTTTCAACTGTGTCTCAGCCGTAGTTTGCCGCCACCTCCGAAGAGACATGATAGGTTTTTTTCCAGGCTACCCACGGGGTCCCTCAGCAGCTGTGCTCCACACACAGTCTCTGCAGACAGGATCCTGACTGCGCCACCTTT